CATACTGCTGTTCTGTTACTGCAACCTTCAAATTATTTAATATTCGTATGGTAACCCAGAACCAAACTTTTTTGAATTGCTTTTCTTGCAGTAAATATTACTTCAGAGATGACCCGGGGTTAGTGGAAGAAAAGAAAAGGCTTTGCAGAAGAGAGTAGATGATGACATCTATTTTACCTCCAAATACGTTAATCTCATCCAGCCCCACTGCATTTTAAAATAACATAAAAGAATACCGAACACTGTCACATTCTAAATAAATATGAATAAAAAAAGAAATATAATTCCCTTAGAAAGGCTATGCTAGAAGTGTTAAGTTGAATAAAAAAATCCAAAACACATTCCATATCAACTTTCAATCCCTAAATTTTGCGTTCGTACACTCAGAATCAAAGACGAAAATCCCTTTAGGTACCAGATGCTGCAGATCAAGTGGGAGAGCTTCTGGAGTTTTAATGTGCTGGAAGTCAAATCCTCGGCAAAGGCGCTTTGCCCGGCCGGTGTGGTGTGCTTATTACTTCACCTGCAAACAGTTGCTCTCAGAAAATCGGACCTAATGATCAGCCCAGCATTGCTGCAATAAAGAGACCATAATCTGTGGGGGAAGTGAACTCTAATCAGGCCACATGCAGATTAAACTAACTGGGAGGAATAAAAACTAGATTAAAATGTTCATGCCTAATACCAGAAGATTATCAGGACATTTTACCTCTTTAAATCCTAATTTATAGGAGCCAGGGTTAAGTTTATGACTTTATATTTGGTGGGATTATGTGGTGCGGTTGATTTTCCTCTGTTTAGAAAAGATTGGGCTAGAAAGTATTTGCTTAACACAATACAGAGGCATTTGGGAGCTGGAAGACTATGCGAATGAACTGATAGATATTATGACAAGTAAAATAAAGCCACTCCATTGAAACTGGTTGAACTAGTTAATAATGGAAACTGCTCTTGTTTTAATGGTATTATTGCCTATCAACATGTGTATTTGAAATCGTACTCTGATAACAGTATGCCTATATTAAAGTTGTCCTCAGTCATCCACAGTCTTGCTTTCTGTCATTTTAGTTAGTTGCAGTCAATTGTGTTCTGAAATAGGAAAGTACAGTATATTACAGAAAGACGACAGAGAGAGAGAGAGAGAAAATACCCCCTGACAGGGCCCAGTCCGGCTGCCTCCTTTTCTCTCTGCTATTCCACCCTGTTCGAATTCCGGGTAAATACCTGTGTGCCCGCATGTTTTTTAAGCCTGTGGAGCTGGGACTTGAACCCTAGTTTGGCCATGTAGCATCTGGATTCCTCTGCCTAAGGCCTAACCTCTGAACTATAGGGCAAGCTCCAAAAAGATACTCACCTAAGTCTTATGACAGTATATTGTTACAATTGTTCTAGTCCTAGTTATTGTAGTTAATTCCTTCCAGTGCCTAATTTATAAATTAAATGTCATCATAGGAAAAGATAATAAATAGTATTTACAGGGTTTGGTACTATTTGCAGTTTTAAGTATCCATTGTGGATCTTAGAACTTGTTCCTCACAGATAAGGGAGACTACTTTAAGAGTGTGTATGTGTGTGTGTGTGTGTGTGTGTGTGTAAATAAAATAGAGTTCTGTTCTTATATGTAACTTCTTGAGCAAGATTTGATTTCCTAAAAGTGTCTACTACTGTTGAGCAAACCACTGCAAATACTGATCTGCAGGTCATGTTTAATCTAAGCACACAACCATTAATACATAGACTCTGAGTCGAACCACCATGGCACCACATTAGTAGTATCATGTTAAAATGATCTTTTTCTAAAGTTATTGGAACAGTCCATTAATAAGTCAATCATCAGAATATATTTTCAGCTACCATTTCTACCATTCCTACTACATCAGTATGTCTTGACTTACCACCTGTGAGGCCAGACAATATGCAATGGTCTTTGCTGATCGTCAGCTCCACTGAGAGATTCACAGGGATGAGGAGTCAGATTTTGTCTATTTTCTTCACAATTAGAGCTTGAGTTATCTGACATGTTGGGCTTTTCCAAGTCTGACTCCTGCAGGTTTCCTTGCTGTGCAGTGTCAAGGCCAGAGTGTGCACTGTGCTCTGTATTACACTTCTTCAATACATTCTCACAATCTCTCTGCTCTGGCGGGAAAGGAAGGACCATGGATGAGGCAGCGCTGCCGCTTCCTTTAAGACTCAACATCTTCTTTAAGTGGGCTGCTTTGTGCTTGGGCATGAATCTGTTACGGAAAGGGAATATAACATAGTTATAACAACAACAAAAACAAATATGTAAAATCTGTCCTTTACCTTCTTATAAGGACATGATTATGTATAAAACTGAGGAAAAATAAAACAACAAAAACAGTACAAAAAGCAGCAGACACCAAGAGAAAGTTCAAAAGTTTGAAAATGAACTAGACTGCCTTTGAATGGTTCCCAAAGACTTTCTGTGGCTATAAAACCAGCACTGCATACACCATGAACCATAAGACCAGAGAAATTATTTATTTGCACCCGTCACTTATCTTTCTAAGTTTGTATTTTTTTAATTTTATTTTCCAGTCATCACCTGGTACACTGCTTATTTTCAAGTCATACTTATTCATTAACCTACAGTAATGTTTGAAACTTCTTCCTTGATTGGCACTTGTTATTTCTGCTCACATGACTGGTCTATGTTTCTGGGCACCTGTGCATAACTGATATTAAATTGACCTTGCTAATGTTTTCTGACATATATAATAATATCATTTTCATAATTGTTTTCCCTTATCATCCCATAATGCTTTGTCAAACAGAATTTCTTAATCTGTTAGTTATTGATAGGGAATCTAAATGAAGTAAAATCTTAATAAATATTCTACTATAGCCTAAAACCTGTGACTGATACAACAAAAAGAGGCTCTATGTTCAAGGAACTCACTGTCTATTTAGGCCATAAACCATTAGTGTTAGAACAGACAAGAGTGGGAGACTTGTGAACAGCCGACTAACCTGTGTTGGAACGTGCTCCATACACAGGGGACATTCCAGCTTTTTAGACTGAGAGGAGAAGGAGATTAATTCTGACTCGGGGATCAACAAAGGCTTAAAGAGGCTTGTACTTGAAGGATTCTGCAGGGTGTCTACGAGTGTGTGAGAGACAGTTCGGAAATGAGGGAATAATGTGATCAAAGGAAAAGGAGTGTGAAGGAATATGAACTTTAAAAAGGAATAACATGCAACCCAAAGAGGCTGGGACGTGGACACAGGTCTTGGATGTGAGGTCTGGAAGGTTGACAGTCCAGACATCTGAGCATTTTCCCAAAGTTCTTAAGGCCCATGTAGACTTGGACCCTTCCCTGAATTGTAGAATAAGTGAAGAAATGGAAAATGTGTGTGCTTTGGAGGTAGGTGGGAAAGAAAAATCATAGAAGGAAAAGAGTAAGGAATATTAAGAAGAATAGAAAGATAATCTCCAAGAATAATACAAGTTGTTATTAAAACAACTGTGTAAAAAAGGAATCAAGAATCCTGAAGGAATATGTGAAAAAGAGTTGGAAAGTACTGCAGAGGTGCTCCAGTAGCAGAAACAAGAAGCTGTTGGCCTTATACATGTAGGCCACTGGCTACCTGGCCTTCCCTATGGAGTGATGCAGGCAGAGACCAGACTAAAGGAGGTTGGCTGTGAAACAGAGAAACAGAGTGATACAGATACCGTGAGAGAAAAAGAGGTAAAGAGAAGGGCATGCGAGGCGAAGCTGAATTTTTAAAAATGGGACACAAAGACATTGGGACACCTACCTGAGATGGAAGCAGGTTCCCGAAGAGACAAAAATGTCTTACAGGGTGAAAACAGAAAAATGATATATTATGGGTGGTAATGGCACGATTCTTAGTGGGGGTAAGGGAGAGCAGGGACTTATAAAAGAATAAACTTGAACTTTCTTGCAAAGTTGAAGGGAGAGGAGAGAAAAATGAAGCTAAAACAAACACCAAAACAAACCAATCAGTTTTAGGTAGCAGGTCTGGAATCTAAGCAATTGTGTTACAAAAGCATTAGGCCAGATCACCTATTTTACATAAGGTGAGTGTAGGTGGAGATGAGGTTTAAGAATCCAGTGGAGGAATGGGATCAGTCACTGTGGAGATGGGGGAGAGGGCACTAACTAGGTCTGCAAGCCAAGGTTGACAGACAGCACTGAGAGCCAATGGAGGGTCCACGTGAGCTAAGTCTTTCGCTGCAGCATGCTACTAAAGGGCTTGTTTAGGGTCTTTTCCGCTTGGTTATAGACCCCTTTAAATGTCTATTCTTTCAAATACCTTAATACATATCTACCAAAAACACAAGAATCCCCCCCAACAATAAATAGATGTGTATATAGACAGGTAAAACACAAAGAATGGCATTAACTTCTTACGTTTGCCCTCATAAAAAAAAATAAAGTAGTCCTTGATGTAAAATGGAAAGAAACCTAGGCATTTACACACTGTGGTTTTAGACATCACAGGTCCAAAATTATTCAGGAAATAAATCAATTTCTTCCTGAAACAAATTCAAAATACTGAAAAGATTTAAACAACCTAAAAACAACAATAATAACAAAGTTCTCACTGACCACCACAAAAGGATTTTTTTCTTTAAAAAAAAGGCAAAAGACTGTGATGATATCTTTGACTTCTCCAAAACAAACAGAAAGGATGGTAAGAAATGGGACACCTGTACATATCTGGGGAACAATAATCAGCAAGAAAGTAACCTATTTGTTTATGCTGGATAAAGAATGTCAGGCAAGGGAACCAGCAGTTAGCGTAATGGCTATGTCGCTGGACTCCCACGTAGTCGACCACAGTTCGCGTTCCGGACCCAGTGGCTTAAAACTCACGCCGGGTGCGTGTGTGTGCGTGCCCAAGATCCCGAGAGGAGAATGGAGAAGGGATTGTGGCGTGACCATCCCCCTTGGGGGGTGATTTCTCGCTTTCTGTCTCTATGTCTCTCTCTGTCTGTCTGGCAAGTGCACGCGCCCTATAGCGAAAACCTCTCCAAAAAAAAAGAATGCCAGGCAAGTTTAAAAAAGATTTTAACAGAATTATAAACAGTGCATGAAAGATTCACAATCAAAAAAACAATCAGTGGGCACTGAAACAACATATCTTTACTTCAGGAAACAGTAGCATGACCCATCTTACTCATAAAATCCATTTACATTGGCTGCCATATGAGCAAAATTGCAAATCAAGAGACAAAAGATTGGCTCAAGAGTTGTAAATAATGGGGCTTGGTTAAGGAATTTAGCTGTGGATGCCAGCAGGTGGCGTGGTGGTTAAGGCACTGGACTCCCAAATGGTGGACTGCAGTTTGAGTAATGGACTCAACAGCTTGAAAATCATGCCAGGTGTGTGTGTATGTGTGCGTGCCCAATATCCCAAGAGGAGAATGGAAGAGAAGGGATCGCAGCATGGCCATCCCCCAGGGGGTGATTTTTCACTTTCCCTCTCACTGTCTCTGTCTGTCTCTCCAGCGACTGCACATACCCTATGTCAAAAACCTTAAAAAAAAAAAAAAAAAAAAAAAAAAAAAAAAAAAAAAAAAACAACACCCTAATTAAAAAAACATAAAAAAAAAAAAAAAAAAAAAAAAAAAAAGAAAAAGAAAAAAAGAAAGAAAAAAGAAAGGAATTTAGCTGTGGGTAAGGTGGTGGTGGACTTGCTTTTTTTCACCACATTTCCTAAATGTTCTAAAGGATGAATAGGTGCCCACAGGTTGTGGATGACTGACTTGACAGGTGGTGTGAATAAGGACATGGAAAAATGTGGAATATAAATAGAGACAGCTAGCCAAAACAGCTTACAAATCTAGAGAGATTGCAAACATCAGAATGAACTTTGATTGCAGGAAGGACACATGAAAAACATCACTTAGGCCATTCTGTGCTTGACAAGATGAGCAAGTGCTGAACTGACCCAGTGAACTGACGCTACTTATTCCATCCTGCAGTAGTGGAGGAAGTCACTCAGTCTGTTGGGACAGAACACTATGTGAATGCTGATTTCATCTGGGCACCGGAGAACTGTATATGTCTGAAAATTAGAGAGTTCTTAGAAGAGCAATAATAATGATTAAGGCAATAGGAGAATTGATTTATGAAGACAGATTAAAGGAGCTAAATATGAATAGCCTGGTTAAGTGACAACTAGAGAGGTACATAATAGGAGTCTCCAAGGAAAAGGAATAATTATTTAGCCTGATACAAGGGGGGTATAACTAGGAATAACGAGATGAAATTAAGAATGGTAAAATTTAAACTGAATTTCAAGAAAAAACTCTCTGACAGTATAATTTATTAGCTCATGGAATAAAGTCCCTATGGAAATGTTACAGCTAGGGAAATGTAATAATGGAACTGGACGAAATATCAATAAATAACATAGATAACAATCCAGAACTTGAAAGAAAATAGTTATAAGCTATGCTTTCTTTGCTTATGGTATCTTTCAATATTTCTCTTTAGTAGTTTATTATAGTAATTGTCATCAAAAGGTGTACTTAGGCAATTAGCAGAATCTAAAAGGATACCTCGATTAGTTGCAGAAAGTTAAAAGCACTATAGTTTTTATACGCTCTACAGCCATAATGAAGGCAGAAGCTGAAATAATTGTTACTACTTTCTTCCAATAGAGCCGGCCTTGAAGCAGGCTGGACCAATGTATTAATATTTTTAAAAACAAAACAAAACAATCCTCATCCACCATCCCACACAGTCTATTCTGATTTTTCATGCCATGAAACTTCTATTTTCATAGACATGTTTAATATAAACAATTTATTGCCATAATAGAAATCAAAAAACTTTATTTCAGCTTTTCTAAATGTAGCTCTATGGTCAATTACTTCACATCAATACCAAGATCAAATAGGCATAATACTAACAAGCAGTTTGCTTAATAATAGTCACCACACTAATTAACCCATCCAGAACATTCTTAATCAGATGCTATTTATAATGTACAGTTAAGAGAAGCCTGGCTATAAACTGCTCTAGACTACAAAAGAAAATAATACCTTGTGGATGAGGGAGAAGCTGGTTTCTCTATAGAACTGGACAGAATGTTTGTGCTGGCCTGGCATGAACTCAATGAAGTGACTATGCAAATAGGCACATGTCTGAACGCTTCCTCTGCCTGCCCCAGCTCCAACTCTGGTGGAGGTGCTAATGAGAAGAGACAAGTTCCTGAGGTAAGGAGTACAGGAAAAAAG